CGGACTAAATGCAGTGGGCGGGTTCCCATTACTTTCATTATTTTCCGTCATAGGGGTTCAGCACCGATATGCGCAGCACAGGATGCTGCAGTCTGCAAAGCGCGAGGATTGCTTCGAGTAGTCAGCTACCTGCCTGTCTGCTTCTCCCGCATCGTTCATGCTCCCTTTTTCTTTCTGCTCTTTTTTTCTCTCTCCTTTCCAAGCGTGTGTCACCTCTACCCATGCTCGCCTGAAACGAATAACAATCAAGTCAACCTTAACGTTAGTTTCAACGTGTAATTGTGTAGAGAGAGAGAGAGAGTACACTCGGTGAGAACGACACGTTAAAGAAAGTAAGACCTTGGTCAGAACAATGAACTTTCTGAAGAAACAACTGCTTCTGATGGACAAATGATCTTATCCTGCATTTCTATACGCGTACGATTGATGATTGATGTTTGAGACCTCATTTGATGGGAAGGATTTATTAAATGGAAAAAGCAGGCAGAACTTCAAAAGTTACAGTGTTTAATATGAAAGATTTAGTCGAGAAAGAGCGACTTCTAAAATATAACACCAAGAATAGATTATTCATATTTTAACGAGTCGTCCACGTTACAAATTGATATCGTAACGTGAACGATGTAACGAAGCGAGTTCGTTTATCGCTAATCTGATTTCACGCGGTCGAGATGCTGATGAGAAAATCGCACAATTTCGCCGAACTGAATTACAAAACGTGTTACGCGCCATCCGAAAGTCGACCGAACTGCTGTACTCAATAATTACATTCGTAACAGCGGTCTATGATTTCCCCTCGACTTCTTAGAAAGCATGTTTCGCTTTAATTCTACCCTGATAAGTTCATTTTCGCAAAGTAGACACGTTATGCGAAAGAAGAGTCTAAGAGTTGAGAGTCAAAGAGTCGGAGAGTCACGGTCGATCAAAATCAAAAATAATTTGCCTCTTTATCAAATGTCTTTTAACAACATTGGAATTAAAACACGTGATAAAAACAAAAAAGACTTGTACAAAGGACACGAAAAGTTTAACGATTTTATACCGCTAGATCCGATCGACAAACTTACTACATTAGATCGTACATTAAATTGAGTGCATTACGGATTACAAAGTGTATAATCTGAAACAGTATGTCATAGGTACATCAAAGGGGAGGAAATTATCGTACGAGGCACCCCACGCGCACGCACTAATTCGAGGAAATCAAATTACTTTAGTTAGCAGATAAGATCTATGAAAGTTTCCATGCAGGATCGATAAGAGTTTACAACCGATCGTATTATTCAATCAACTACGAAGATTAGAGATCCGATGAAGTGATCCCTGGCTAGCTATTTCCCATAGCAAAAAACAAAAAAAAAAAAAAAAAAAAAAACGTGTGTAATTTCAACACGTTCGCAGCTGTTTTCCAATGTTACCAAGATCCTAAAACAGTAAATTGCACAGTTTTTTATTTACAATTACGAAAGAGCTATATATTTTTGAACATCATACTTTTGATCGATGATTATCAGCAAACTTACAAGTATTGTCGTTAGAAATATTACGAGAAATCGCAAGATTCTCGGGGACGCAATCTGAGGAGTTAAATCATTTGCAGAGCTAAAAGTTTGCAAGCGGTGGTTGAGAGACAATGGTAGTTTCTGGTTGATGCGGCGTCGAGAAATGGGGTGGAAACAGACTCCCAGTAGATTTATTCGAAGGGTTCGCAGAGGCCATTGGATTGACACGCGGCGACGTCTTGACAGCTTGTTAGGCTAACGGTTGCGTGCTGCTCATCGAACACGATGCGCTTGAGCCTCTTTGCTGCTCTTTACCTTGACATTTCACTTCTGATCAAACGTTATACCATTGTCTGCTCTCCTTGTTTTCCCTTGTTGCATCGCCGCTCCCGTGACCGTCGAGTTTAAAGCGGTCGTTGCAGTAATTACAATCAATATTTTTGCCTCAGCAAGTGTTAATGCCTGTTTTAAATGTGAACGCACGACGTGATAAATAATCGATACGAAATTAAATCTTAAACGCAGTGAAAAATAAAGATTACACTTACACTAGAAATCCTATAGCATAGATCCTTCTTGTTCTTAGGATTTCCTGTGATTTTCAGATTTTTCGAAACGCCAACGAACAACACACGTGCGTTTAATTTCTTTTTATTTCATTATTAAAAATAAAGCTTTACGAACTGTGACACACGTGTGAAAAGTATTTATCCAAGTGTTTTGACGGTAAATTTGCAGGGGAAACGGGATGAAAATGCCGTGATACGATGTGATATCCGTTGAAATCTGGAGAACCGGAGGAAGGATCAGGCTCGACGAGAGGATATTCCGTGGTGGAGGGAACAGCATTACTGTCCACGTGCCGTTTAACTTGATCACCCTGGCCAATCTGGCCTCATTTCAACCTCCAGTTACTACGGCACTTCCGCTAACAAATAATATTGTTGACGACCCTGCGGGGGCGTTCTGATTCGATTTGCTACGCTATAAAAGCGCGCTGCTGGGGAGAGCCAGTGACAGAACGGGGAGAGCTTCGCGACGACTGACGAAGAAACGATGAATAAAAGGAAAGGAAAGATCTGAGGAGAAAGAGAGTAAAAGAAACAGGGAGCCTGAAGAATTGTGTACTGCTGATACACGTTTTTCACTAGGGCACGTTTCTTGAATGACAAGTTGGTCGGGGTAAATATAAAACAGTCAAATGAAATTCATATTTCAATAAAAAAAAAGAAAAAAAATGAAGGTGAAAAATTCATTTGCAACATAATAAACACAGGATACATGTTTGAACGAAGCAAAATTTTGGAGACAAGCTTCAGTGAGTAAGAGTCACTTTTGTAGAGAGATAAGATTTTCGAATAGAAATTTTCTTCAATTTTTCAATTGAATATCTCTTCAAAAAGAAGAAAAAAATAATTATTAACGTAAAGAAACAAAACAAAATCAAAATTGTAATTTCGACGATATCTTACGACTTGCGATACTACAGCCATCTTCTTACGAATCTCGCTTATCCAATTACTGAAATAAAATACACGCATCCTTGCGTAAAAGTTCCACAACAGTGATTTTCGTTATGTCTTCTCTTCAATTACAAATTCATTTATCACAATTAACTGTAACGATACATACAAGACAATCAAATTCATATTTCAATCAAAAAATAAATAAATACAAATAAACATAAAATACAGATTTAAACAAATCTCTTCAAGAAGAAAAGAAGAGAATAATTATTACCATAAAAAACAAAAGAAAATCAAAATTACAGTTTCCACGATACCAGAGCCATCTTCTTATGGATCTCACTTATCCAATTACTAAGGTAAAATACACGCATCCTTGCGTGAAAGTTTAATAACAGTAACGTCTTCGTTATGTTTTCTCTTCAATTACAAATTCATTTATCACAATTAACTGTAACGAAACATACAAGACAGTCAAACGAAATTCATATTTCAATAAAAAAAAAAGAAGTAAATAGCATAGAATACAGATTTAAACAAATCTCTTCAAGAAGAAAAGAAGAGAACAATTATTAACATAAAAAACAAAAGAAAATCAAAATTACAGTTTCCACAATACCAGAGCCATCTTCTTATGGATCTCACTTATCCAATTACTAAGATAAAATACACGCATCCTTGCGTAAAAGTTCCACAACAGTAACGTCTTCGTTATGTCTTCTCTTCAATTACAAATTCATTTATCACAATTAACTGTAACGAAACATACAAGACAGTCAAACGAAATTCATATTTCAATAAAAAAAAAAAAGAAGTAAATAGCATAGAATACAGATTTAACCAAATCTCTTCAAGAAGAAAAGAAGAGAATAATTATTACCATAAAAAACAAAAGAAAATCAAAATTACAGTTTCCACGATACCAGAGCCATCTTCTTACGAATCTCGCTTATCCAATTACTAAAATACACGCATCCTTGCGTGAAAGTTCCACAACAGTGATTTTCGTTTACGTCTTCTCTTCAATTACGAATGTATTTTATCACAATCAACACATGTACACGTACATGGGGAGAAGGGGGAGAAGGGGCAGAGTGGACAGAGTGACGGATTCTCGTCTGGAAGAGAGGAAAGAAAAAAATAATTATCAATGTGATAGCGGAACGACAACGTGCTGGAAAGCGTGGCTACGGCCTAATTAGTCCTGTTATTTAGTTAGGGAACGGAGATGCGAGGAGTTTACTCGGCCGTTCGGTGCTAGAGCAGCACTAAAGATTCGTATCTCCAGGACGTGTTTAAAAATAATTACCGCGGAAGATCCAGCGATAGTCACGGAGTCGCCCTCACCTTTGTGCTTCCTGCCCTCTGGAGTGGGCCCTCGTTGTTACGGCATAAAGGCAGCCCAGCCAACCTCTTCAGTATGTCCTCGCGTCTCTTCCGGCACCGCTCGAGTGCCTCCTCACCTTTCAACCACTCTATCACCGCGTTTAAAGAAGTAAAGACCAAAGGTCCTTTACCGTTTTAAGGGGTTAGACCGCCTCGGAAAGGAGTTTATTCGACGACGACAATGTGACACGACGATATGCACCACCAGCGCAGGGGAGGAGGGGTGTGGATACGCCTTATTAAATCGACCGATACACCCTTACGTTCGTACGTTCAATAGATTCGAGAATCGACCGTGAAGGATACGATAAAGAACTAAAGACCAAAGATCTCTTGCCTCTGGCTGAAGTGACGTTCCGGAAGAATAGACTGTGTACGGGGGATCACGTGATCATTAAGTTCGCGCGATTTTTGGTAGACGACGGTGGCCATCTAGATTGACTCGGGGTAATTAATTCAATTCAAACGCCCTCACGAATCTTGATTGTTATAAAAATTTTAATGAAACAGTGTCCATTAACGAGTTTGTTCTTTGTAATTATTGTAGAACAGATTATCAAACTAACTTTCTGAACAACGTGATACTTTTTGAAATTGAAAAAATTTAAAGATTTGTTGCTTCTGGTTGAAGTGACGTTCCGGAAGAATAGACGAGGGATCACGTGATCATTAATAACTTCGCGCGAGTTTTGTTAGACGACGGTGGCCCTCTGGATTGACTCGGGGTAATTAATACAATTCAAACGCCCTTACATTCTTTTACAAAACTAATCTTGATTGTTATAAAAATTTTAGAGAAACAGTGTCCATTGACGAGTTTGTTCTTTGTAATCATCGTGGAACAGATTATCGGTCTAACTTTTTGAACAACGTGACACTTTTTAAGATTGAAACGATTCTCGAGGTTTCCTGGACGCTGAGACATCTAGAAAAGTGAGGATTTTGAAAGTACACAGTCGGCGTGATTTCTCCAATATTTATAGTATTTATATTTGTTTACATATATAATTTTCCATATATTATAATTATAATCGTAGTAGGCAAAAAACAGTAGTATCGTTTAATAACAGAACAGTCGTATCAACGAGAATACTAACTAAAAAAAAAGGGGGGGGAGGGGAAAGAGAAAAAAATTGAAAAAGGAGAAATCGGAGGGAAATGGAGGAGTGGAACGAAGATGGTTTCCAAGTTGAGACGAACGGTGGGTTCGACGCTCAAAAAACAAGATCACTATCGGCTCTTATTTTTCTCTTTCGTTTTTTTCTTTCTTCCCTTGCAACTACGAGGAAATCGTTCTGCGTCGTTTCTTGTAGGAAAATGTTAAATTTCTAGTAGGCGCGTGTTGCGTATGTATATCCTCTCACTTTCGTTCTCAGAGAACCCTACGACTATTAATATCTACTATTATTATCCTGTATAACCGCGAGAATCTGAAATTATTAAAAATATACATCCTACGGATGTATCGTTATTGCGCATTAGTATTGTGCAGAAGTATGTATACTCGTAAATAGATGTATATCCTCGAGTTTTTATCCGTTCCTCTTTTTTTTTTTCTCTCTCTCTCTTTTTTCTTAATCTTTTCTTTCACTTTAGGCATTTTTTTCTTTTTTTTTTTTTTTTTTTATTTTAAATATCGCTAACTAGGCCTTTCCTATTATACTT